TGGCGGCCCGATCGCGTCGAGCCGCCCGACTTTTTTTTTTTTTTTTTTTGGCGCGCCACTTCCGCGGCCTTGTCGCGCCGCCCTTAGACGGCCGCGCCGCGTCGCGCGCCGCCCCCTCTGACGGTCGCGACCCCGCCGTCCCCTCTGCCGGCCCCGCAGCTGCACTCGACGGCCCCGCCGTCCCCTCTGACGGCCCCGCCGTCCCCTCTGCCGGCCCTGCAGCTGCACCCGACGGCCCCGCCGTCCCCTCTAACGGCCCCGCCGCTGCTTCAGACGGCCCCGCCGTCCCCTCTGACGGCCCCGCCGTCCCCTCTGCCGGCCCCGCCGCTGCGCCCGACGGTCCCGCCGTCCCCTCTGCCGGCCCCGCCGCTGCTTCAGACGGCCCCGCCGCTGCGCCCGCCGGTCCCGCCGTCCCCTCTGACGGCCCCGCCGCTGCACCCGCCGGTCCCGCCGTCCCCTCTGCCGGCCCCGCCGCTGCTTCAGACGGCCCCGCCGCTGCACCTTACGGCCCCGCCACTGCACCTACCGGCCCCGCCGCTACCCCTGCCGGCCCCGCTGCTGCATCTCCCGGCCCCGCCGCCCCAGCAGCCGAGCCGTCCCAGAGGCCGAGCCGGCCCAGCAGCCGAGCCGCCGTAGCAGCCAAGCCGCCCCAGTAGCCGAGCCGCCCCTGCAGCCGAGCCGCCCCAGCAGCCGAGCCGCCCCAGCCGCCGTGCCACCCGAGCCGCCCGAGCCGCCGAGCCGCCCGAGCCGCCCAGCAGCCGAGCCGCCCGAGCCGCCCGAGCCGCCCGAGCCCCCTGCACTGCCCTGTCTGGTGAGCACTGAGCTTTACTCTGCGCACTGCCCTCACCCTACTGCTGTCATGGCTACCCCCAGTGTCCTCACCTTTGACGCTGAGGGCAGAGCCATCGACTTTGACGTGTGGGTAGACGACCTACTGCTTTTCCTACAGTGCGACAGAGCTGACGGCCTCTCTCTATTTGATCTCACTTCTGGTGCCTCTCCCGCCCCTGATGCTACTGAGGATGCCACTATTCGCTCACAGTGGGCCACACGCGATGCTGCTGCACGTCTTGCTGTGCGTCGCCACCTCCCCCCCGCTGAGCGTGCACACTTTGGGTCGTACAAGAGTGCTAAGACCTTGTACGACGCCGTTATTGCACGCTACTCCACCCCTGCCACTGCTGCACTGAGCTGCCTCATGCTACCGTACCTCTTTCCCGACCTTGCTGCTTTTGCCACAGTCGCCGACCTCATTACCCACCTGCGCACTAGTGACGCTCGCTTCCGCGCTGCACTTCCTGCTGAGTTCTGCGCCAAGAAACCCCCCCCCAGTACTTCACTCTCTACTACATTGTCACCCGCCTCCCTGACTCCCTTCGCGGAGTCAGGGACGACTTACTCTCAGTCTGCCCCACCACTCTCACTGTTGAGATCCTCGAGAAGTCCCTCCTAGCAGCCGAGAAGAGCATTCTCGCTGTAGGGGCCTCTCGTGGTGACCCGCGCACCCCCATCTTTGAGGGGTGTTCCCCCTCCCCCCTCCTGCCCTCTGTCGCCTCTGCTGCCACGGCCGACCTAGTTGGTTTTGAGTCGGTCGGTGCGGCGTCTGCCCCCAGCGGGAGACGTCGCTCTGGCAAGGGCAAGGGGGGCAGGGGCGGTGGGGGAGGCGGCGGGGGCGGTGGAGGCGGCGGTGGAGGCAGCGGAGGAGGTGAGGGTGGTAGCGGGAGTGGTGGCGGGAGTGGTGGTGTCAGCGGCGGCAGTGGAGGCGGGGGTGGCAGTGGCGGTGGTGGTGGGGGTGGAGGCGGGGGCGGTGGTAGCGGCGGCGACGCTGGAGGTGGCGTTGGCAGCGTAGGTGGTGGCGGCGGCGGCGGAGGAGGCGGCGGAGGTCGTGGCTTGTCGCGGAGGAGTGGCTCCGGTGGTGGTCAGCGCCAGCAGCAGCAGTGTGGTCAGGAGACCCTCTCCCCGCAGCAGCTCCGTGAGTGGTACACTGCACGTCAGAGGGGTGGGGGTCCTGGTCCATGCACCTACGTCCTGCGCACTGGTGACCGTGCGGGTGAGCAGTGTGGTGGTCCACACTCCTCCCAGCGCTGCTTCGGCCGCCTGACTGACGCTTGGCGCCGCCAGTTTCCTGATGCCTCTGAGATCCCTCGCTGGGACCAGCTGTCTAGGGCAGGAGTAGCTATCTTTGATCTTGACTTTGATGCTATTCTTCGTGCCATGTATGCTGTGACTATTAGTGAGGAGGGTGACTGTTACCGGTGTTTCCCGCCCGACCCGGGCATTGGTACTGCGGCTCTAGGTGCTGTTGCGGCTGCTGCTCCAGGTGCTGTTGCGGCTGCTGCTCTAGGTGCCAGTGAGTCTGTGTCCCCAGGTGCTGGTGAGTCTGCTCTCTCAGGTACAGCGTCGGCTCCGTCCTCTCTCACCTTCACTCTTGACTCAGGAGCGTCTCGCTCCTTCTTTCGGGACCGCACCACACTCACGCCGCTTAGTCGGCCTGTGGCAGTCTCCCTGGCGGACCCCTCTGGGGGTCCTGTTCTGGCTCGCTACTCCACTGTCCTTCCGTGCCCTGCGGTCCCGTCTGGCTCCCTGTCCGGTCTCTACCTCCCCTCGTTCTCTACGAACTTGGTGGCGGGTGCTGACCTCCAGGATGCAGGGGTTGACCAGTTCACCCCTGCACGCCGACGAGACACCCACTGCACGGACGCGGACACGGGTCGACACTTGACCACGTTCACACGTGGGCCGGGGTCGAGCCTGTACACCCTCACTGTTCCGTCTCCTCCTCCTGCGTCTGGTCAGGTAGCTGCGTCGGGTCAAGTGTTTGCTGCAGCGTCCAGGTCTGGTCCTGAGTCTGCTCCCTGCTCGTGTCGCCTCCTATCCCACGAGACCCTCCTGTGGCACCACAGGATGGGTCACCCCTCCCTTCCTCGTCTCCGGGGCATGGCCTCTCGCCTTCTTGTCTCTGGTCTTCCCCGGTCCCTCCCTCCCCTTCCTCCGGGGCCTGGCCCTCCCTGTGTCCCCTGTGTCGAGGGTCGCCTGCGGGCTACCCCTCACTCCTCCCCGTTTCCTCCGACGGAGGCCCCGATGCAGACGCTTCACATGGACGTGTGGGGCCCAGCCCGCGTCCGTGGACAGGGTCACGAGCGCTACTTCCTGCTGGTGGTTGACGACTACTCGCGTTACACCACAGTCTTCCCCTTGCGCAGCAAGGGTGAGGTCACTGAGGTGTTGATCGACTGGATCCGCGAAGCTCGTCTCCAGCTCAGGCGGAGCTTCGGCTCGGACTTTCCTGTTTTGCGTCTGCACTCGGACAGAGGCGGAGAGTTCTCCTCCGGCCTTCTGCGAGCCTACTGTCGTGCACAAGGCATCCGCCAGACCTTCACGCTTCCGGACTCTCCACAGCAGAATGGGATTGCTGAGCGCCGCATCGGCATTGTCATGGACGTCGCCCGTACGTCCATGGTGCATGCGGCTGCCCCCCATTTTCTGTGGCCGTTTGCGGTGAGGTACGCCGCGCATCAGATCAACCTTCAGCCCAGGGTCTCCAGACCGGAGACCTCCCCAGCTCTGCTGTGGACGGGGAAGGTTGGCGATGCGTCGGCG